TGAGCTCTGGAGGCTGGAAGCTTTTCATCTTAGCTTCCTCCTGAGGTGTGTGTATGACACACTCCCATGACCAGTGAAGTTGGGGCTTGAGGGAGGATCCGCTCTGAAAGTTGTGCAGGAAGTGGGTGACACTGACCCACATTTTAGCAGGGTGCCACTTCGCTCTGGCTCAGTGGAGATATAGGTCTTGACATGACCAAGTACTCCGAGTGATGGCTGACATTTTCCAGCAGGCCAGGAGAAGACCACAGCTGACTAACCCACAAGTACCATCAATACAATTTGTCAGGGCAGGAGAAAAACCATCCTCTAATAAAACAGCCAGGACCAACATCCTCCAGGGGGCACAGAAGTGGGAGGTGACAGTCGACCTTTCGAAAAAGCTAATTTTCTCACCCATCGTACAGACCATTTTGAGGCCTGACATCGTCATCTGGTCAGAGCAATCTAAGAAAATCATCCTGGTGGAACTGACTGTGCCTTGGGAGGAAGGCTGTGAGGAGGTCCATGAGAGGAAAAACCTAAAATACCAGGACCTCATCATGGACTGCAAAGATAACGGCTAGCAAGCATGGCTGTTTCCAGTGAAGGTCGGGTGGAGAGGATTCCTAGCACAGTAGATGTGGTCTGTGCTCACTGCACTTGCAATATATGGTAAGGAGAGGAAGATAGCTGTGCACAGGATTGGGAAGGCAGCAGAGAGAACCTCATGCTGGTTGTGGTTTAAGAGGGAGGAGGGGGGCTGGAGGCCTGGAGATGATGGGCAGTGATCTGGCCACCATGGCTGACCCGCCAGCTGGAGGGTGTAGCGTAGAAACACCCCGTGAGGTTGGACACAGTCTAATGACATCGGCTACAGGCCAAAAGCCACCCACAGTCACATTGGGGAGTGACTGTATGTTTAGCATCATGTGATGTATTCAACAAGACTGATCAGACCAGACTGACATACTGGGGAAGAGGTAGGGGGAACATCTACACAATTTTAACAAAAAATAACTAAACAGTGAGCTTAAAGATTAAACTTAAAATCACTGCTACTAAACAAAATTAACAAAATTAGAAAATTATAAAAGAAAAGAAGAGATTATGCAGCATATTAAAAATGTGGAGTCCATGGTCTTCCCCCATTAGTGGAACTCCAGATGGTACCACCAAATATGTAAATGTATGTCAGCCAGAGTCCTTTGCATTCTCCCTGTTCAAGTTACTTCCACAACACCAGAAAAGAAAGCACAGATATTAAGCATTTGACAAAATTAGACATACAAAAGTTAACCAAATGTGCGGGCTACAATTGGAACTACGGTAATGTCTTCTAATATTGTCAAAATAAAAATAAACAAAACAATGCATTTATGCTACTGTGTGTTAAAACTTAAATTGAAAAAGTGGTTGTGTGTGATGTTACTGACCATATGACCATCACAGGGTTACAGAAGGCAGCTGTCACCAACAGGGCTCACTTTATGTGAAGTGGTCTTGATTCACCATTGCAGAATCATTTTATACAACTCTAGTCTGCCACATCATCACACGATTCCATCATACAGTACACATTTGCAGATGGGGAGACATCCATGGCTCCAGCCTAATCAAAATATTACACTTTGTTCTTACCTGAAGGACACCGTTCTCATTTGTTTCTTAAATCTTTGACCAATACAGAATGAAGATTATAACTGTACATCCAGACAGAGGAACTGCCCTATTTAGATTAACTGCTGGGGAAAACAGTGTGTCTTCTTATTTCATTTATTTATTTTCAACATGTAGTTATATTACTCCTTGGTTACTGCTTTACTAATTTCTTATTTAAATGGTAAAATATATAATAAAAAGATATGCTTATTAAGTTGCAATTTCCCTCACCTCACAGCAGATGTCAGTAAAAGGTTTAAACTTTGAGATTAAAAGTGGAAGTGGAGTTTTAAGCATAATTTTATCTTCTTTTAATTTAGGATCCTCAGGGAGCAGTTGTCAAATCTTAAATGTCCAATAATTCAAAGAATAACAATTTAAGGTCAACCAAGGTTTTTCAGGTTTTTTCTCTTCCTGATGAAAACATAGAATTATGTGATGCTCTTGTCCTTAATGCATAGAGTCTTAACTTAATTTCATATTTTTGTAAATAGGAAGGAGCTCCTGGGTTGGATTTTCGGTGTTTCTGTCTGAAGTTGCAGATCCAGAGATAGAGTTCTCTCTGGGTACTCCAGCCTTCTTCCACAGGCATGACTGGAAGATTAATTTCCATCTCTAAGTTGGTGTTAGTGAGTATGGTTATATGTCCCTGTGTTGCTCTATTGTAGCCTGGTTACCTGTCCAGGCAGTACCCCACCCATTGCCAATAGACTGACGGAGATAGGCACCAGCCCCACCATGACTGATAAAACGCCTGGTGATGGATGGAGGAAATAAAAAGTACATTTCTCATGTTATTTAGTAGATCACTTTTTTTATTTTGCTAAAACAAAGGTTTAACTAAGATAAGTTATAAGGTAAATACTGTCATATAAGTTTACTCTACAAATAAAGCTCCAGTGAGCACAACCTAAAATACCTAGTTCATTGTACTTCTACTATTCTAAATGCAACCTGTTTGCTAACCTGACTCCGCCAGATGGATTTGCTCCTCATATCCATCTGGAAACCTTCTGTTGAAGTAATTTGGGGAAGGGGTGAATATACTTTTCCTCTGAAACAAAACATCTTTTCCTCTGAGAAAAGTCTCCAGAGCAGTATTTTGCTCTTCTTTCAGTGAAGAAATACAGTGTAATTCCGATAAAACTTGCTCGATAGCCACGCTAACGCTAGTTTCATCGGCTGAAACCACCATGTTCTTTAGACTGAACTGTCGCGCTTCTCGTTGCGTCACACCTCAACCCGCCTGAAAGCCAACGCTGATGGGACGTTCGTTTGGTGAACGGCTCCAAATTTTCTTCAACGAAGAGCAGCCAGACTGATTAGCGAGTGAAATCTTTAAAGCTCGCGAGATCAGGATGGTCTCACGAGGCTACCTGTCTGCATGCTTTCCTTAAAGTAATGTTTTAAGAAACTCATTTTCCTTCAGTTTCTGTGCAGTGTCTGATTACGCCACAGTGTGTCGCTGTTTTCCTCTCTCTGCCTCTCGTTCTCTGTATCAAGCACCTGCTTATTCTGTGAGCCTGATTAATAAATAGGCCAAACAAATCTGTGCAGAGATGGAAATCAGGACTTCCATTTAACATTCAAATGCTTAACTGCAACTTATTTAATCTTTTATGTTTTTATTCTCTCAATATTCTAATAGATGTAATTAACCTGTGTGCACTGGTGAATGAATGCCTTCCCTTTATGAAGCCAGTTTGAGCACACTGTAGTATACAAGTAAATACCCTTTCTGAACATTTCGCAAAAATTGTATTAATTATTTAAAGCTCAGCAGTAATGGGTGTATAGAAACCCTGCAGCTCAAAACAACCACATGGACCAGAGAAAAATCATACAAACCTGTGCATTACATTGATCATAGTGACCAGCAGACAATTATTTATCTAACCAGTGAAACATGCTTTGGATGAACCTGCTTCTGTTTTTAATAAAGCCACAGAGTGGTTATCAGATATCTGTATATATATCCAGGGATGGAGAGGGACAAAACCTTGACCAGGCATTTTGACTTTTTGACCATTTTGACCTTAACCTAAAGCCTAAGAATGGAAACTGACTTTCTGCGCCACTCACTAATAATTTTTCAAATTAAACAGAAACCGCCTGCAATTAAAATACTTTTCTCTATTTTCCATTAACAGAATATAAATAACTATATAGCTATATATATATATATATATATATATGTAATATAACTACACACGGTTTACAAAAGATGTAGTCAGAGGTGGGTAATAACTACTTATATTTTTTGAGTAATATTTGAAGAAAGAAATGGTGACCTGTTCCAATCTATAGCTGAATTCTTCCAGCCTCCTTATTTTCATGGCCTTCACAGGATCCATTCCAGGTAGGTCAGGTCCTTCGAAGGATGTAGCCAACGAATTTGAACACACCAAATGCTTGAATGGCTGATTGGGTGACACCATCTGGAGTTGCACCATGGGGGAGGACCATGATGTCTGTTTTCAAGTTTTTGAACAAGTTCTTTTTGCTTTTGTTATTCAATAGTTTTATAAGCTGTATTAGTTGTTGTTTTACTATTTTCAGTTTAACTTTAGTAAAAAATATGATCAAGTACTGCTGCTCTTAAGTGTGAAAAATTCCTATCAACTCTAAAAAAAAAAAAGGATAATTACTTAATATAAATAAAACAAATTCTGATTGTATGAAACTGTAAAGACGTGCCGACAATAAATATAAGGCTGGAGGTTAAAACTACCACACAAAAAGGTATATTTTGACATAGAATTTTTAATAAACAATTCAATGGATAACCTTATAGAAAAAGAAACAGTAGCAGCCCGACAGTCTTAGGAGGTAAAGAACATCTATTAGAATAGATCTTCATTGGGTCATAGAGATTCAGTTAATTAGCATGCCCCCCCCTTGTTTCCTGCATGCTTGATGTAGAACTTTTCTTTTCAATCCTATATCATTGTGGCCTCTTCCATCTGTTGTGAATGTATGAATGTTTTAACCATAAAAAGGGGAGGTGGAAAAAATGGAAATTTACATTTAAAACAGTATAACATTTTATTTTTCTGACTGTATTAAAGCCTTAAAGCCTTGATATTTTTTTTTAAAGATATACATTGACAAATGAATAAAATAAACAAAGCACATTTTAAAGTTTAAGGTAGTTACCATAAGGCACATTGTGATACTTCTACGTAATGTTAGTCATATGAAGCTTGAAAAATAAAAACTAAAAGCACTTCTTAACCGTCTGCGTCTACAATACAGAGCAAGATTACTAGAAATAAAGTCTATAGAATTAATACATACTAAGGAACTGAAGAAGTGGTGAAATGAATTAAAAGGACTTTCATCAGATAGAATAACGAGTTTTAGGACTTTGAACAGAGGAAATTAAACTCCTCTAGATCATTTATTTTCCTCCACTTATGTCCTCCTCCTGTCTCCATGGCTCCAGACATGTCACAGTCATCCACTGGTTCCCCTGAGGCCCAGTTCTTATACCTGACCACCTCATCACTGACCCAGAACCAGAAATCCAGAGTACAGGTGTAGCGCAGTCCCATCCAGACATAATCAGTCGAGGCGTTCTTGGCTTTCTCCTGGATCCATCTCTGCTCATCCAGGCTGGTGATGGTGACCAGGTCATGGTAGTGATCTCTGCAGTAGTATAACGCATCCTCCCAGTTCATCTTTTCTTTGACCAGGATCACTTTATCTGTTTTACGACATGAATATGAATTAACCCATGATGTGGCAAGATATTACTTAGAACTTTATTCCTTATGCTACGTTCACAACGCACGCGATTGAAACAGCAGAAGCAGTTGGTTTACTTGCAAGGTCAAAGGTTGTGTGACGTGATTTACAAGCAGCATATGCTGTACTGTTGCTGCTGGATGCGCCACATCAAAAATCAGAGAAGCCGATTTCTGAGCTGGCAGGGAGACAGACACAGCACTGCTGATGCAGATTGCTATGATCACTCCTATGAAACAGTTTATTAATGCCTAAAGTAACTTAAAATGATGAAACCTGTCGGCAAAATATGTTCGCTGTTATTATTGTGATGCCTGCAGTTTGTACCATATACCTGCAAAACGGCAACATCTACTTCCAGCTGTGACAAACAGTAGTGGACTAACAGCTGCTGCTGGCAATTCTCAATGATGCAGGTTTGAGGAGATCTAAGCGGCCCCGACAGTAAAATAATATTTTAGGGCAGGAATGTAATCTTGATTAACTGACTGCACAGATAAGGTTTTAGGTGTACTTTCTCGCTTAAAAATATATTAAAACTACATTTTACCAGCTCATCACAGCAAATAGGTATAGCAAAGCCGCTCTCTGCAATTGAAACCAGTAGGACAACACTACTGCACGTGTTTAAGGTACATCAAAGATGCTCGAGACGTGCGTCTGACCTTAATGTTTGCAAACATCAAAAATGAAGCAGCCGGAGCTTCTTTGCCACGCAAAGCACATTCAGTGTGAATGTATCATTATACAGATATTTGACAAGTATGTCTATAAACAGTGCTTATCAATATTTCTTATTTTAGTGCCCTTTTTTTTAGTTGCTTTCTTCTAATACAATTTTTTG